ATCAATTAATAACAGATATAAATATTAAAATGACAAGTCAATGAGTAAGAGGGATCTTGCCTCGGGGTTCGTCGAATGAGTCGACGTCGACGATGTGAGCCTACGGCAGGGCAGTTCTTCCACTGGATGTGAGTTGACATATCGTCGAACATGTGGCGTGCGATGGAGGCGGTGGTTGGTAGTAACGAAGGGGGTGCTCGCGGAGGAGGTCGACGAGTGGATCTGTGGAGGACAGCGAGCTCGGGAGATCGGGGGTCGACGGAGTTGGGTGGTCGACGTCGGTGGTCCAGGGGAGCCGGAGATGGGGGACTGGAGGCGGAGGGTGATTGTTGGGGGCTCGGATCTGGGTCGAGGGACTGGACATGTCGGAGGAGAACAAGAGGGAGAGGCAATAGGGACGAGCAGGGGAAAACTCAGGAGCTCAGGGCTGAGCTCGAGGGAGGAGTTGCGGCAGCTTGGTGGCGGCGACGATTTTTGCGGGTGGTGATGGGGTGGAGGTGGTGGTGGTCGGTGATGATGATGGAGAGAGGAAGAGAGAGACTGAGATGGTGATAGGGGGAGAGAACGAGAGCATGAGTGAGAGAGAGAGAGAACGTGGGTGAGTGAGAGAGAGGGTGGGCTGATGAATAATAGAGGAGAGAGAGAATGAGAGTGGGATTTCTTTTGAGGGGGAGAGAGAGAATCACGTGGGTTTTGAGGGAATCAGGGGGAAACACGAGGAGGGAATTGCGGGAAATGAGGAGGAAATTAAGGAGTGATTTAGGGGAAGTGGGGTAGGAGAGAGAGAGAGATAAAGAGAGAGAGATACAGAGTGATATACCGGTGAGAGGGAACACGCAGGAAAAATACCCCTATATAAAAAAATATACAAGAAAAATTATTCAAATAAATATTAAAAATTTATGGTCAAAATAATAATAATAACAATAATGAATAATTAACTATTAATTTAAAAAGTTTTACCGAACAGCTAAATTTATAATTAGCAAAACCATTAAAATATTATAATACCGTATTTTTTTTAAATCGTAAAAAATTGGAAAAAATATAAATACTCTTTTAGAAAATAATATTTAATATTTAAATACCAGAAAATTATTTAAACCAGTATTAAAATTTACGGTCATTACACCAAACCTTGAAGTTTGTCCCATTTAGCATGGGAATTAAGTTGATGTTAGCAAAAATTATTGCAGCAGATGCATTAGCTAAAATAAAACAAAATTGCTCACATTAATAACCATAATTAATAATTAAAAAAATTCAAATAATGACAAATCCCATCCAAGAAATCTGGCACAACATTAATATCAAGTCTTTGGACAGTAATATTAACTTGTAAGTGATACCTTGTTGCAACGATCAAACATTGACAATAACTCATGTCAAATAATAAAACTATCTTTGGATTGATTCATTATTCACATGTAAACCTTATAATTGTCACACGTTTATCATCGCAGATGTGTATGCAGTCTAAATAAATATTAACATTCCTTTGGGCCGATTAAATATTTACACGAAAGCATGCACACAAACATCTCACATTCCTCATGAACAATCTACACAAGAGAGGTTACTTTGGCAACTTCTTGTTTCAATTAACCAATTGGAGTGAGAGACAACTGTAATACCTTAGTATCATAATATTTGAATTAAATAATTGATTAACTACCAAATTAGATTTAAATTAAAAGGTTTTAATTTAAATCAACTGAATTTCCAAAAAACTTAATTAGGGTCTCATAGCTTAATTAGGGCCCATAACTTAATAAATTAAGTATATCAAAGTGGACCCATGAAAAGCCGAGGCTTAACCATAGTGAAAACGAAGTTCGCTTGACTTCGAACGCGAGGTTCGACTGTATTGAGTACAAGACTCACCTAAGAACGAACGCGAGGTTCGTTTAAAAAAATGAACGTGAAGTTCAACTTGAGAACGAACGTGAGGTTAGTTTGGATTGAGCTCAGGGCTTGCCTGAGGATGAACGCGGAGTTTGACCTGAGAATGAACGCAATGTTCAACTTGAGAACGAACGCGAGGTTCGACTTGAATTGAGCGCGAGGCTCACCTAAGAACTGAGCGCGAGGCTCAACTTGAATTGAGCGTGAGGCTCATCTGAGAACTGAGCGCGAGGCTCAACTAAGAATTAAGCGCGAGGCTCAACTTGAATTGAGCGCGAGGCTCACCTGAGAACTGAGTGAGAGGCTCAACTAAGAACTGAGCGCGAGGCTCAACTTCAATTGAGCGCGAGGCTCACCTGAGAACGAACGCTAGGTTCGTCTGAGTTGAGTGTGAGGCTCAATCTGAGAACGAACGCTAAGTTCGTTTGAATTGAGCGCGAGGCTCAACCTTAGAACGAACGCTAAGTTCGTTTGAATTGAGCGCGAGGCTCAACCTGAGAACGAACGCGAAGTTCGTTTGATGCTTTCAAGCCTCACCAAAATTTAAGGTAACCACCTCCTTAATTTTCGCCACGTTTTCACGCACGAACCCTTAGGGTTTCAAACTGAAACCGCCGCCGCCATTGCTCCTGCACCCAAAGGTCGAAACCCTAGGGTTTCCTTACGCAGCCGTCGCCGTCGGAGTCGAGAGCGAGGCCGCCACCGAAACTTCGCCGGCGAGGAGCACGGGACCGAAGACCAAACCCAAAAAAATCCAAAAAATTCCTCGATTTTATTTTCAAATCCAGATCCAGAATCGGAAAAAACAAATGATGATTTCTTGATCCAGATCCCAAAAAATCGAAGAAAAAATCCAAAAAATTTAAAAACTTTACTGTTCACGATGAATTTTTTACCGTTCATCCGAAAAAAAATATAACTGTTCATCCGAACGTTACTGTTCATCTGAGAACAGTTATGAATCCAAATCAGAGATTTTAAGATCAAAAAAACCAATTTTTAAGAACTTAAACCCCTAAGAATTAATCACGGGTTACTCTGATACCACTCGTTAGATCTAATATATGAGATCTAAATCATAAAGGCATGATTAATTCAAAGAGATTAACAAGAATCAAAAGGAGCGGAAGCTTATACCTGAATCCATAGATGAAACTTTGAGATGGGTTTTGGATCTTCTAACCTTAGGGTTTCTCTTGCCAAATTTCTCTCTAGATGGGGGGTGAAAAGAATTAGAGAATGTAACCCTAGATTAGGGACCATAACCACTTATTTATAGGTATTGTACATTTGTAATTTGGCCCCTCATCAAATTACAATTACAACCTGGTATCTGCACATATAATCTCATGATTTATTTAAATACCCATTAACCCAAATTGATTGATCACTTTAGTGAGTTATCCTGAAGGATAGCAATACACACAGATTAATCATATGTGCCCACAAATAGATTTAATTAGATTTAAATCCAACAAATCCAAGCAGCAGAAGGCAGATGATTGAGTAAATGATGATAATTTCATAAAGATTTATGTAGGAACAAGTCGTTTTGAGCCATCTTAATGACTCGCTTTTTAAGGTTCCACTTTCAAGAGTGGTGAAGAAAAATTTTATGCTATTTAAGTAAAGAAACTTCTAATAAGTATCTCATTCTTATTAAATGTTTTTTTTGGAGAACGTTCATATTAAGAATTAGTCGCGCGACGCACATGGAGATATTCTAACTATAAAGAATCTCTTGATATCTCCTTTTTTTAATGCAATTCTCAATTCGCTATCACATTTGGAAAAGGATGTTTTTTTGTTTGAACACAGTTTATAACTAGCAAATCTTTTTATTGATATTGATCTTTACTCTATAGAATATTATATACATGACCCCACACGTTAAATTGCCTAAGGACATTAGGGATTGAATGTGACCTAAATATGATGGCAGTACAATTTGTACTGTCCATTTAATTTGAATGTAATGGCAAACTTAAGGGAGACATATATAAGAGAGTATTCCCTAACGAATGAGATTTGGTGAGTAATTGTAGCTTGCTTCAAGCTAAAGTCTTTAAATAAATTACGAGTTGTCTCACTGTTAGAATTAATATAAAACTATAATAATTGATCCTCACCATAGCTTCAGAGTTTTGGTGTAATGGTTAGAGTAACTAAATTTAAGATGATATTAGAGCAACCCAGGTTCAAATCTCACCGGTGAGTCCAGGTTTCGACCCATAAAAAAGGGCGTTCGACCTGCGGGGGCATGTTAGAATTAATATAAAACTATAATTCTTAATCTTCATCATAACTTTGGAGTTTTGATCTAATGGTTAAAGGAACTAAATTTAAGACTCACATTCAGCTAGCATGACACGAAAGCGAAAAATCAAAGTGTAAAACATATATATGTTGTAGGATGACAAGATACTCAGTCGACTTCTTTTGATAATTGCCGGGACATTTTATAGGACGAGATGCAAATATGAACTCGCTCCTAACTTTTCACAATTAAACACCAGCAAATAGTTGGTAACGGCTCAAGTACTTGTTATGCCTCTGCAGCATCTCCTAAAAAAAAATGCAGCGATTTCATAATCAATTGAAGGTGCTTGTTGAGTTGTGGGCTGAAGAAGTGAGTAGCGTGCGTGGCTTTCTTGTGAGTAAGTGATCATGCACATTCATGCTGTTTAATTAGCGCAAAAAAAAAAAAAAACACATCTAGTTTAAGTTATATTTAACTTCTTCTAAAACACTGCAATGAGATCATTCTGAAAGTGGAAAAGTAAGGACCTAATATATATGTTGGCCGAAATTTTGGTTTTGAAGAGGTTCGTTCTATTTTCATTTTATTCTACTCCAAGGGACGGTCATAGTAATATTAAACTATAGAGATCAATCAAAGCTAAAAATATGTGACATGATATATGCATCCACCCGAGTTTGAGTTGCTCAACTTTCTTTTTTTCTTCCCACTTTTTTCCTTCTTGGGCTTTTTCCAAATAAGGCCTGGGCCTACGCTAATTGAGAGAACTGGGCTGCGCACTTTTAGCGGGTAACAAAATCAAAGCTCGGTGAGAACAGAGGGACAGAGGAAAAAATAGACGGGGGTAAAAAAATGGCACCAAAAAATTTCTCCCTGATCTCCTCCACGATCAAACCCGCATTCCCCAAATCCAAATCGTTTCCCTCTGAAACCCCAACCCTAGCGGCCTAGCCCAATTTCCAGGCCCAAACCCTCTCTTTTCCCGCCAAAATCCCCTCCCATTTCCCCTTCAGCATTCTCTTCTTCATCCCCCAAGTGAGCTACTTTACGAGTTTTGGATGTCAACTTTTTGTTATGCAAGATTACTGGTCAATGGGTTTTTTTAATGGATTTTTCGAATTCCATGCAGTTGTTGTTCAAATATTTTGCTGATTGGGTCTGAACAACCAAAGGGCTTAATACCGCCAGCAGCAATGTTGAGGGTCAGTTAATTTTCTTTCTTTAGCTATCAAATTCATATATATTTCTAATGTATTGTGAGAATTGGGTTTTATTTATATAATCTATTCCCCCCCCCTGGGAAAATTTTTGTTACAGGTGGAGAAATTAACCCCGTTTATGTTGTTTGGCTGTCATTCCCATTTCAATTGCTTGATGTACGCTGCTATGGATTTACTTCATGCACATTGTATTAATATATATCCTATATAAGGCGGCGAGGTTCTAATTTATACATCTTGGGTAGAGCGTATATGGTTATTGAAATGTTCCAATGAGCTTTGTATCTGCATCCTACCAAGAAAATATGGATAATAATAATAATAATGATATGCAGTGTTTATATATCTGTTCCTTTTACATACATGCTTATGAACTGTGCAGTTGCGATATAACGTCTGCTATATATAATTGATATATAGTGTTTATTAAAGATATGTAACAAGAATAGTATACAACTAATGTATGAGTGCTTTTAATCAGGTAGTTCCATTACAACGAGCTATATATAAAACTCCTTGCGATTCTTAAAACTTCTTCCTATTTTATGTGAATGTTCTGATAAATTCAGACATTGCCTGAATTTGGCTAGTGTTCTCGGATTGGGATAGAAATGCTGTTTTTATATATCCATCAGATGTCAGAGTGGATTCGGAGGCAGATAATATTTTCAGATTTGGTTAAAATGATGCGAAAAATTAGCATGATCTGAGAACCATCTTTTTTCAGTGAGGATTAAGTTGCGGGTGGGCTCTATTGGAAACCGATTAATAGTATTGTTACGGGCACTACTTAGTCGAACTTGGTGCAGGAGATGAACTATGGCTGATAATTCCTAGAAGCGACTAAATAGTTAGTACCTGACATTTTTAATATACACGTCTTGGTTGACATGTACATGAGTATTGTTAGAAGGATAACAAAAAATTATTTTTTTGTTGCTTCTTATCGAACCCCTTTTTCTCTTGACATGTTTGCTTTAGGGTCACGTAGATCACTGGATAACTGCTAGTGTAAAGTGTTGTCTAATTACCATCGAGCTTCACCAATTATGTGAGCATTATCTTGATGGTGGCAGATGAAAACATATCGGTTCTTCTTTTCGTAGTTTGTTCATGGCTGAGAAAGCGCGAGATAATTTTGGCAGAGGGTACAGCCGAAAACATGTGGTTATTTGAGAGACGCGGATGTGGAATTCTTTCAGGATATGAGGCCATTCTTAGTCTCGTACTCATTGAAGATTTATTAAATTGTCAGCATAATACTTGATACAAATTATAGCAATGTATGGGGCGACCGTGTATATATCATCTGACTACATGCAAATGTGAACAATCTTGGAAGAAATCTAATTGGTAGGGTCTGAATTTGACTGTGGAAATACAAATAGATGAGGTTCATGGTTAAGTTTTTGTGACGAATACCTCCATTTAGATATAGTGAACATGCCACTTTACTCAAAGATCGCTACCCTCAGCCTTTTTAGGAAGGGTGGTGCCTTAGGGATCTAAAAATATGGGACCCTACATGGGACAGGTGAGGTGTCGGCTTCCTATCTCATGATGCATTGTTCATGAATAGAACATGATGATGCACTATTCATGAACAGTGCATCATGGGACAGTGAGCCGACACCTCACCTGTCCCATGTAGGGTCAGTGGCGGATCTAGAGCTTTTTTAGTGGTGGTTCAAAATATGTTTGAATTTTTTTTCCGAACGATATCCCCTTTGATGCAATGAAAGTATAAAAATGTCCTTGTAAAGTTACATAAAGTAAATCTATTACATATGATTAATTAATGTATATAACTAAATCATTTGACATTAGTATATAAGCTTGGACTTAAGACTTTATTTATACTTATGTGAGGGAGAGGGATGAAATGTATAGTATTTATGGAGGTTAGACAACCAAAACAAACGGTAGATATATATATTTGAGGTGGGCATTGCATAACTATTCATAGAATTAGAAGTAAATGTGTTGCATTTTGGTTTATCTATTTGTGGTGGGAAGTTGTATAAAGCTCTATCAACATGACGTTGTAGACAAATATACAAAATTACTTGCGCTGAATTTTTAGGGGGTCCCTTTGCCGACATTTTCAGGTGGTTCAAGTGAACCACTTTGAACACGTCTAGATCCGCCACTGTGTAGGGTCCCATGTTTTTGGGTCCATGTAGCACCACACTTTTAGGAATTCAGGTTGCATTTGGAGAGATCCTGCATGGTGATGCTTCTGTTCATGTTCTGCTGTCAGCCCCATTTATCATAATATTAATTCTCATTTAATGTCCGGATTAAATGCTTCGCGAGGCTGCTTAATTTGGTAATTGTATCCCATAAACACCAACTGCAATGTCCATACCTTAGTTTGAGTTAAAGAGTTAGAATCTTTTGAGTTTTAATAATTTCAAGCAGCACGCCAACCTTAATTAAAACACATCGACATCGCTCCTTTGCTCCACAATTTCTCTACTTCTCTGAAACTTAAAACTTGAAGTTATCTTCTTCTATTTACCCTATAAATTAAGATGATGTCTTTGTTAGTTTAAGAAAGAACTACAGATTGTCACTCTTTTTTTTTTCTTTTTCAATTGCCCCCATATTTCTGAATTCTGAACATCTCAGCTTTCCCATTTAGTTTCGGAGAAAGCTTCGCCAGACGCACAAGTATTTCTCTCTTGTTTTCACCTTTCAAATTTCCTTCTTCTCAGTCAACAAAATAAGAACTCTGCCTTGTCGTTTCCACACACACCCAAAAAAAAAAAAAAAAACCTCTAACATTTCATCTTCTTTTACTTTTCGATACTACGTCTCTAGCCAGTAGGTAAGTTATGCCCGTTAGTTACTACACCATTGCATGCTGTGCCGAGAAAAAAGGAGAATCCAGCACTACTAGGAGGTCTTTTTCTTAATTTTTATTTTTTTTTTAAAAATTTAAAATAAAGCCAGCACTAGGAGTTTGAATGTACCGCTTGAAAGTTAAAAGGAGGTGCAGAGCGTCATCTCAAGAGGTCAAGTGTTGATATGTTTGGTTGTCATCAAGCAGCATGTGATCATCTCG